CCCCCCAAGCCCCAAAAGAAAGAATACCTCTGGAACCTGGGTATTTGAATAATATATTGTTGTTCTAGATCATGGTGAACACCTTTATTTTATTGCATCAACAGCTATTATTGGAACACTCTGAATGTGATGTTAATGCCGAAGGAAGCTCTATGGCAACACCACTTCATCTCGCAGCAAGTCTAAACAATGCAAAACTTTGCAAGCTACTTGTATGTATATAGATCATAGAGAGTTATTGTTTATTCTGACACGATAAGAATTTATATAAGCTTAAAACGTTTGCACAGCTATCAACCACTTTACACTCTAACATTTTGTAGCATCAAAAAACCTTTCTACTTAGTCATTTTGATCATTCATTGGATTCAAAGTGTTACTGATTGAAAAAGTTCGTATAATTATGTATGCTAGTCTGGTCGGTGGCCAAGGCACTCAAAGACATGGTGCGCATAGCGCGGGGTGATTAAATGATGATCAGTTCTCCATGCATAAAATGAGTGAAGTTAAGGAAAACGAACTAACATATGTTTTTACGCGACCTTTTTTCAATTTTCAAATTCACGAAAAGTTTGAAGTAGAGTCGAGTCTATCCAGATTCCCTAGATTCTACTCAACCAAAAATGCCCACAGGGTACCCACTTATCAAGTTGCTTTTTCATGTATTACTTTTTCATTTTCAGTTGGAACACATGGCAAGAATGGAACTGAGAGAAGAGTTCGGAAGGACAGCTCTTGGCAAAGCAATGGAGAGTGGGGCTACGAAAGCGGTCAAATTTCTCTTTGAATTTAGTACGTCAAGTAACAATATACAAATGATTGTTGAGTTGAGTTTTTTCTGCTTAAGTCCTCTCTTTCATTCGATGCATCTCGCTGTTTTTTGATGATCGCAGACTCATTCATACGAATTTGGCCTCGTTTATAGGTAAACTATTCAACAAATGAGAGAAAGACTATTAATTTAAAATCGTTGTTTTTTATAGTCAAAAACAATGAACTTGGAATGGAAAACTACTTGTATAATGCTGACAAAGAAGGGAGCACTTTGTTGCATTTAGCAGTGGACAGCGGCTTTGTGAAGGTATAAATGTACAATACTAAAAATGAGCTGAGTTAAAAGATAAATAGTCTTAGCAGTGGTTTGGCAGACTGGCTCTCTGGAGCAACTTTACTTCCATACGATTTACATCTAATCATGGACAAGCAGCTGTACGAACATACGACACTGAGTTCAGGAACTGATCTTGGATCGCAGTAGAGAGACGCGAACCTGTGTGCACAATCTAAATACTCGGTTTATGACTTATTTGAATGTGATACATTAGCTACTGTCGTCGCCATTATAAATTGGTACAATGTCGTTTGAACACTCAAATAAATTGTACTTGCACCGTGTGGGAACCTGGCTATAAATTCGAGAATACAACTAATAATTCTCTGTGTGCGGTCATTCTGAATCTGCGCATCTGCGTTTAAAAGCGGCGATAGCATTACCATGGTAACGATCTTTCTTATTTTTTGATCCCAAGGTCGTTGACCTTTGCTTGAAGTATGGAGCAAGAATAAGACAACCAAAGGTACCGATCTCGCTACAAACAAGGCCCTCTTATTGTCTTTTAATAATCGTAACTCTTATATTATTATGAGACGTAAAAATCTTTTGATTTCAGAGTCAGGGTCGTTCAACAGCTTTCCACTTGGCATGCGAGCAAGGCTCAGTAGAAATTGTCAAACGTCTGCTTCAAGAAGACCCTAGTGTTGCTAAGATACTATTGATTGATGCTTGTGGCTCTACACCATTACACAATGCCGCCAAGAACAACAGCTCCGCCATACTTGAGCTGCTTATTGAGCATGTAAGTCATCAAAAAATCGATCAGGCAATTGAAATGCGCGTGTGAGAAACACTGCATGTTATTCGCTACTTTAGGAATCGGTGGTAGACTGGGACGAGTTGAGACGCGCAAAGATGATTGGGATTGTTATATGGACACTTGTATACAGATAAAAGAGAGCTGTGAACAACATATTTGCTAATTGACTTGTCATTTATAGACGGAACTGCACACGAGAATTATGATGAATTAGAATACTGGTTGACGTATTCTGAGTCAGGATTAGATCGTGAAAATAAAAAGACTGCTTCATATCAATGAATAATGCTACCCTTACAGAGTGTTAATGTTGGGGTGAATTTGAGTTGAGTCGTTTCCATCGAATACCTTGAGTAAATCTAAAGAACTAAGTCATATAAATGAATGCTCTTGATATACTCTTACAGGGTGCTAATGTCAATGCTAAAGACGACAACAACGTTACCCCCCTCATGTTGGCCGCGAGTTTTGGAGCAACCGATTCTATTCGACTCTTGATGGAAAAAGGTACGGATCCAACGATCAAGGATATTGACGGACGAACTGCGCTATTCAATGCTGTGAGGCATTCGAATGCTATGGAAGTCTTGCTAACGGTAAGTTATTGCTGGGTTAGAAAGAGTTGTCGTTACATGCCTTCCCACATCGGCCAAAGAAGCAACGAACCTAGAGAAGAATTCTATTGTTTGACTTTGAGCGGACGGACGCATGCGAGCGGTGACAGTCCACGTAATCTGCTCTATGATCGTAAACAAGAACGTGACGTGTCTCGATAAACAAATAAATGAACAGTAGCCCTGTAGCGTCGTTGTGATTTGCTTAGTTGATGTTGCCATTATTAATAAAAATGCGGTACCTCGTGTTCTGATGGTATTTTTGCAAACTGTTTGCAGAATCAACAAATGATTCCACTGCTGATAGAGAAAGACGCTACAGGATATGCTCCTCCTCACTATGCTGCAAAACATGGGGATATCAAGGTAATCGTTTTTAAACCCTAAACTAACATATAAACTGACTAAACGCATATATTGGTACATGTAACAATGCGCAACCTCTGGGTTGATCAAAGTCAGGGCATGGCTAACTCACAGATCGAATTGTAATTTAACTGGTTGGGTTTTGCGGAGGGAGTAAAACTGTAGAAAAAAACAATCCAGGAATCAAACCAGGGACCTAAGACCGTACCTTGCTTTAAAATAAAAAACTTCCGCTCTTATAACATGCAAGCCTTTTATTGCGTGTTGATTACGAATGTTCTCCCTTTCAGACAATGCAACTCTTTCTATCCCACAACAAAGCAATCGCTAGTGTGACGTCAGACTCCTTGGCCACGCCCCTACACGTGGCTTCAAGGTAAGACAATTCCATACAATAAAATGCTGTGTGCATGCTATCTCCTTGTTATACACACTGGGCTTGATTCGGATACAAATAACAGTAATGTCTGCTATTATTGTTCGTTTGTCCGCAGACATGGCTGGGACGCAGTCGTTAGCATTTTACTTGAAAAACAAGGCAGTAAAATTGTCAATCTCCAAGACAATCGAGGTAGGACAGCCTTACATTATGCCGCTAGCGGAGGGCATCACAGAGCAGTTGTAGTTCTCCTACAATACGGTGCAACTATAGAAAGGTTAGTCGCATAAATAAGTACCATCTGTTTTACTTTATCATCAAAGGAAAGTAAACAATACAAACAATTTTCAATCAATTTTCGAAATCAGAGTTTTAAATTCTGAGATATTCTAGCTAATGTTTTGAGCTTGTGGGACATAGCAACGGTAACTAGGAAGCGGAACCATGAATAATCGTTTCATCTTTAGATGCGTGAATACTGTGGTTAAAAGCACGAACGTTAGGTTAGCTATAGGTATAGTTGCGGTGTTTGTTCCTTTTTAATAGAGCTGAGTGAGTTGTTATAAATAGAAAAGAAATACCTTTGCAGCTGTGTTCTAGACTAATTATAAGAAATCATATGCATGCATAAAGTTTTTGCGCAAACCGCCTTCAGTCATTGTGATTACAGTACTTTTTTTATTCAAACATATAGTTTCTATAAGTTGTCTCCAAGAGCTCTCATGCGAGCTCATCTAGGGAGATCACTTAATATAAATTTACAAAATTAGATCAGTGGAGTACACAAAGTAATTAACAAAATAGTAGTAAAGCGTACAAAGCCTTTACAAAAATACAGAAAATGAAGATATAGTTACACTGACTAGTTAAAGTAGACGAATGCAATTTTTACAATAACTTACAAATTTCTCGCGCGCTGATTGGTCATCAATAAGAGGACAGACAGATAAAGCTGATTGTTTTGATCAGTAAAAATGAGAAGTTTTTATCGCTTTTGTTATTGTAAAAAACAAATAGACATCAGTTTTTTATGTGTCTGTCCTCTTAAAAAACTGATGTCTATTTGTCAAAAAGTAAGTACAAGGATAAAGGCCTGGTAGATGTAGTTATTCTTTTGTAAACCTTTTTGTTTCGACTATATATTACAGGGCCCGGTTGTACGAAGCCTGGATAGAGCTATCCGGTGGATAAATCCTTATCCAGTGGATAAGATTTATCCGTTGGATAGCGCTATCCAGGCTTCGTACAACCGGGCCCTGTATATTAATTAAAGGTGATAGACAACACAAAGTCACATTTCCCCCATTTTCTTCTTACGTTTTCCATTGCGTTTCGATCAGGGATCAGAATAACAGAACAGCTCTTCATGAAGCAGCAAGAAAAGGCTCCAGAAAATCAGTCGAGATGATTGTCGAGAAAAGATCTCATTGTATTAACTATATGGATGATGACAGGGTAAGGAACGTGTCATAATCTAGAAAGTTGACAATTATAATAATAATAATGATGATGATGATGATGATGATGATGATAATGATGAAGATGATGATGATGATGATGGTGGTGGTGGTGGTGGTGGTGGAGGTGCTGATGATGATAATGATGAATGATGATGATAGTGATAATGATGATGATGATCAATGATGAGATGATGGTGGTTGTGGTGGTGTTAATGATGCTGTTGCTGATGATGGTGGTGATGCTGCTGGTGCTAAGGGCTGGTGGTGATGCTGATGGTGGTTGTAGTGTTGATAATGATGTGCGCATGCTATATCTAACATAATATTTGGTACTCTTTCTTAGAATACAGCTCTTCACTTGGCAGCCGTCTACCAACACTCTCATCTCGTCAAACTACTACTTGCGAATGAACACCAAGAAATTCTTCTCAATTCATCGAACCAGAATATCTTGGACATAGTATTAGAGAGAAACAGCACTGAGGTGGTGGAAACTATAGTGGAAGATCCAAGGTAATCATGCGCTAGACACAGCTCTTCGTGGTGAAGCGATAGGACGTTTGCATGATGGCGTCACTGACCTTTACTACTAGACTCCCTTGCACACTTTCTTTTGTTCAGTTAATTAGCACCAATTGCCTTATGCATTATGGTAGTAGTAGTAAAATGACGCTATCTTGGACATTCCTATTGGTTGTGAAGTGAGGCGATTGCAAGTTATGTGCAGCGATTGGGGAGTCAAGATTAAGATCGAAAGCTTGTATGTGCGAGTAATTTTATTCTTATTTCAGATGGCGAGAGGTGTTGAAGTCTTGTAGCAGTGGTGTTTCTAAGCAGATGATAAAATTAATCGAAAAAATGCCACACGTAGCAGAGGTATGGAAAGCAACTATTTAAAATTCTGCAAAGGTTCCCCTCGTGTAAACTCTTGATGTATTCAAGTACGTGTAACGGAACAACTAACGGGCACGGTAACAGAGCATCACATACTTTAGAGGGCTCAAAGTCAGCTCCTTTCAGTTCCTTCTCAGCTTTCTGACAAATTTTTTTTTTCGATTTTCAGCCAAGAAGGGTCTGGCTGAGAGAATGGTCACACCTGTAGTAGGCACATGTTAGACCACAGAGAAAATCTCTTATGTAAAATAAAACACACACATACCGACAAGGGTGCCGTGATCTTGACGGTGCCGTGTCCAAGCATCTTTATTGGCTGAGTAGTTGATCCGGTGCTCTGTGATTGATTCAAAGTGTGTCGTAAATTCCGTACTGTGATAGTATCGTGTTCTGTACCGTGCCGCGTCATTACACAGTCATGCGAAATGTGTTCCTTGCGCGTCTATTCCAAATACGATGTATTCGAGGGGGGGGGGGGGGGGGGTGTGTTCTTATTGTAACGTGTTCTCTCTTTTTTATTTAAGCGTTTATTGGATCACTGTATGCAACCTGAGGGAGATCGCTTTAGTAAGGATTACAAGGTAACATGATGATCTTCGGACAAGATAAAAGTAAGGTCGTTCCTTGTCATTTCTGGATCATTCAATCAACTAATATTCTCGAATATCTGCACCAAATGGAGCTCAAATGCCCACCTGACGTGCTGTCATTCACAAAGAGTTTCAAAATACTTAAACCTACGATTCAGCTGATGAACATTCCTATGTTAATCGAAGTATTATGATCATCCGGGTGGATGTAGTCCTGAGAAGGACTGTTTGATGTGACTGACGTTTCGACAACCTGAGCGGAAGTCATCTTTAAAGTCAAGTGAAGAATAAAGTCAGATTGGTCATATTTATACTGCATTATACTGCTTAATTATACTACTACATTCCTATCTGGACATGAAATTAAGTTGTGCTATAACGTTATCCTAATGGTTTCTTTGTGAATGTTTTAGATCAAATATGATCTCAGCTTGATATTGTGCAAGGAGAATGCAAAGGAAAAAGCAGGATCTCTTAAGATCTTAAAGGTAATCATGGAGTTGATAAGTTGAAACCTATGATCTACTGCCATCCTGTCTGACTTTTTATTCTTTGTTTCTTGATCGTTTTTCAAGACAATGGCGGAATATCGACGCGACAGATGCCTTGCTCATCCGCTATGTTTCATCGTACTTAGCACGAAATGGTAAGCAGTCTTCATCTTTTTTCTTATTTTTTCTTTTTTCCTGTTTAAAGCTATAATTTTCCTTTTTCCACTTATATTTTTCTTCCTTTTCAATGCTTTTCAATGGTTGTCGTTGTCGGCCCCTCTCTCCGTGTTTCGAGTTATGATACTTTTAGTTGTTAAGACTCTTCTTCGCCTCCGCGTATTTCTTAGTTAATTAGATGACCAATGAGCAACTGTTATATTCATCTTGCGTTAACTCAGGCTCCCTGCCTTCTATTTCCTCCCTTCCTTTCTCCTCCCTTCCTTTCTCCTCCCTTTTTTTTTTTTTTTTTTCAATCCCTGCTTTCAGTTCTCCGCTTATACTACGACTTCAACCTTAATTTCCAACTACAGTGGTACCTTTTTTTTTTTTTTTTTTTTCAATCCCTGCTTTCAGTTCTCCGCTTATACTACGACTTCAACCTTAATTTCCAACTACAGTGGTACCTCTATTAAGCGGACACCTTCAGGACCTTGTCTGTTGTCAGCTTTAAAAAATATGTTTCTGCAGAAGTATAGGTTTCTTTAAATATGTAAATATGTAAATTTAGGACGTTTGCACGCTTAAAAAGGAGTACGCTTACTCAGTAATTCTGTTTGTTTTTTCGTCTGGCTCTGGTTTTACAGGAAGAGATTTGGTTGCACCGTTTTTCTACTAAACCTCTTTTTCTTCCTGGCATCGATTTTACCACTGACCGTGATGCATGTCTTTCTCGAAGACCACGACGAGATATATTGCGAAGATCGCATAATAAACCGAACATCGAGTGGGGAAATCTTATACGATGAAGTGAGTAGAATAAGACTTATAAATTAAATATTACATTACGGTCAACCAAGCAATAGCTTGGGTGGGTGGGTGGGTGGGTCGGTTGGTTGGATGGTTGCGGGATGGTTGGTTGGTTGGTTGGATGGGTGGATGGGTTGGTTGGTTGATTTTTTCCATATATTCACAAGTTAATTTAGACCTTAATGGTTTGTCATTTTTGATTTTTTAGCAAATTAAAAGTTGTCTCTTTAACCATGCGGTAAGTGGATCGTAAATGTGTTTGCATCATCTTTCAATAGGGGTGCCAATGAGGTTAGTAGTTAACTGGCAAATAACCTAAAATTAGTAGTTTAACAGTTAACTGATATTTCATTATTTTGGWWAATATTATGRCCAGCGCTCGTAAAATTATTACAGTCAACTGACATTCGGTAGTTAATTAGTAGCTAACTGACAACTGGGTACCCCCATGACACCCTCTCAGTAGATATGGTGTCTAATATTATGCAATACAGCTAGCCCGAGTGCCGACTGAGTACGGTTTAGTCTGGTAGCTAGCTGGTCACTGTTTTTGACTATTAAAAATAGACCTTTTCCTTCACAATGCGTTGGCATTCAAACTAAAAATAATCAGAGGGTTTTTTACGTTTCTAAAATATTGTATATCAAATTTTGCGTGCAAAGGTACCAAATTATGTTTCTTGTGTTTTCAGCCGATTCAGATTCTTCATTACTTCATTATACTCATGCTTTCAATCCAAGTCCTGAAAGAGGTCATTCAGTGTTATTATCAGGTATGTACATAGGTTCATATTACCCATTTCAAGGTTGAGGAACCTGGGTCGAGTTGGAATTGCAGCAGTGCATTGTGGGACGATTCTAGGGGACATATTTCCAAGATGGCGTCTATCTCTTCCCCTAAAATAGTCCCACAATGCATTGCGACTTGACCCAGTTTTTCCTCAAACTTCGTAATGCCTTAAAAACATAGCAATATCTATCACAAACCAGACAGGGACTTTAGAGAGGGTAGGGCTGGACGGACGACCAGCTCCTTCACTTTTTCCTAACTTCCACTACATTTTTAAGTCTCTGCCCTCATACTTTTGGTCTTTTGCATACTATTCTGCAAGATTTACCAGTGTAATTAAACCCCCACCCCCCTCAACTCTTTATGGTGCTCGGCAGACCTCGACAGATCAGAATGCAGAAAAATCATTGTTTATCGGTCAATATTACATTTCCTATCTACAGCGCATGCGCTACTTCACCTCTGTCAGCAGCTGGATCGACATCATCGGGCTCGGAGCAGCCTTATTCTCTGTTGTACCACCGTGTGCATGTAAATGGGGAATACAAAAACAAGCTGCTTCTGTCGCAATTTTTCTGAGCTGGATCAATCTCATCATGTACTTTCGAAGGTAAAAATTCCTTTTTTATATATATAATGATATTTCTGTAAGTCTCTCTTTGTTTGCTTGGTATAACTTTGCACCGTCATGGCACGGTAAGGGCAACGAAATGATGCTCTAAACTCATACAATCGAAGTATAACAGACCAACCAATCAATTTGAATTCCTTAGCATAGAATACGCATAAAATAAAATTTCAACATGGATTCAGGAGAGAAAATATTTACTTAAGGGGGCCCCAGAACTGATCATGAGGAACACCACAGATATCTCTGTTTCATTTTTTTCTTACTGTACACGCAATAACATTTATTTCAGTGGCCCCAGAACCGATCTTGAGGAAAACCACAGATATTGCTATTCAAAGTTTTCTTACTGAAGTTAACACTTGTTTTATCGTTTGTAATATCGTGAATCAATCTGGCGTTTACGGATAATATTTCTTGTCCAACAGGCTTCCCTTCTACGGTAAATACGTCATCATGCTGTACCGTATGTTCATTACACTACTCAAGGTAAGATATTCGTAATGCTGGGGAAAGGATTTGCCATAAAATTCAATTTTTAGAAGCGGCGGCGATAGAATGAATTTGACGCTAAGCTAGATTTTTGGGACCGTTTATCGGAAATAGTATTCCTCTTGTGTAAAACTAGTACTTTATTTTTCTGTCTGTTTTCAAACCACAGACTTGTTTATCCACTCTGGTTCATAGTTTTAAAGATAACATTGAGAATCCTACGAAATGCTATAATAGGACTAACTTTTACTGCTTCACAGGTCTTGGTTCTATTCGCTTTTTTTATCGTGGCTTTTGGAGCAACTTTTCATCTCATTATTGATCAGGTAAACAACCTTCTTCTCTTCTCTTCTCTTCTCTTCTCTTCTCTTCTCTTCTCTTCTAATACTCAAATATTTCCATCGTTCAAATAGGAGCCCTTCACGTCTCTCCCTAACACCCTGATGAATATATTCATAATGACGCTGGGCGAGATCAACTATGTAGACGTCTTTATGCCATGGAGCAAGCTGTTCTACCCTCGATTAGTCAACACTCTTTTGATTCTCTTTTGCCTGACAATGCCCATCATTCTCATGAACATGTTGGTAAGTATGATGAATGTGATGACGTTGGAATCGCGGCCTCTCGGGGGAGCGTTGGTGCCATTTATCAAAATATTTCTTATTAGCATCCATTGTTAACGGCACCAATATGGCCACCATGTTTTTGTCTTTTGACTCTCTTGGGAATACTTGAAACCCATCAATACTCTGTAAAAATTTGATACGTCTGGGTTTTTTTAACAAAATACTTTGAAAATTGCCAGACTAACTAATATTGAGGTGCTTAGTCAGAAAACACGTTTATTAAATGTTAAAATTCAAACTTGCCTAAGTGTCTTCCTCCTGTCGACTTTGAATCGTACGGCCGTGATGCCAGCGCAGCCTAATTCGATAGACCTCTTTACCTTGGGCGTAATGTTTTAGCATTTCAAACCACCTGTCATTCTCTAAATTATCATTCATTTGTTGCGCATGAGAAGACCCTTCAATATGGATACAATCAAGCAAAAAAAATCCTATTCTTCATGAAATGACACGTCTTAAATGTGAAAACATTTAACCCAAGGGTAAAGGGATTTATATATATCTTCTGTAGCAAAAGCGTTGAAAATACTTCTGCCAAATGTAACGCATAGCTATGGTCGGGAGAGGATCTTAGGAAACTTAACAGTGCGGGAAACAGACCGCTTTACCACATGAAAGTAAGATTTTTTGTTTGAGCTGTATCCATATTCATGTGTCTTCTCATGTCCATCCGTTAAACAAAGAGAATGACACTTGCTCTGAATTGGGAAAACTTTATACCCAAGGCAAAAAGGTCAATAGCATCCTTAACTCCAAATCCTAGAGAATGAAAACCTGGAATGATTATTATTGTTTGGTTTGATAGGTTGGTTTGGCTGTAGGAGATATTGACAAAATCGAACGGAATGCTCTGATTGACCGATACATCATGCAAGTATGTTAACCAACGTCAAGAGAATATTAAGTAAGAGAGCACATCTCCCATACATGGGTCTGTAACCATGAAAGTTTCTTGAAAATCTATTTTTAGCTGCGCGCGCAAGCCTGAGCTATTTTTAACATGCGATCCCTTATTGCTGCTCAGAGTTGTAGTGACTTCCATGCGAGCGAAAAATGTTTAGTTCCCGACGAGAAGAATGCCTTCAAAATTAGTAAAAAGTAAAAAATTTCGGAAATGATTAAAGTACCATGTGTTCTTCATGGACGAATTAAACATTAACTTAACAATTGATGTAAAAGAACATCGAAAAAGATCAAATCAGGATGGTTTTCAGTCACATACGAACAAGCGCTAAAAACAGCGAGGACGCCATGGGGAAAGAAACCGCAACAAAAAAATACGATGAAAATAGCGAAAAACCTACAGTGAATACAGCTAAAAATGCATTTACCGTAGTGTTTTCTATAGTTAATAAAGTTTAAGTTAAAGTAATTAAGAAGACGATGAACAAGACCAGTATTTTGTTTCACACACGAATCAGAAAAACTATTTGCACCGAAATGTGCMGAAGAAAATTTTCTGTTTTCACAGAGGAAAAAACTACAAGAGGCACTGAAGCGATTTTTCACAATCATTAAATATGTTTAGCTTGCCAAAATACGGTGTGTCAGTTTAGACAAAAGATATTGTCCATTGAGAAAAGGCGAATTAAAGAAAAAGTTTGACTATTATAAAACTAGAACTTTCTTTCAAATTTTGCACCATGAATTTTTGCTCTGCCTCAATGTTCAGGTATTTTTTTCATAACTTTTCAACTAAAGTCCCAAACAGACAATAGAAATACAATCACAATATCGGCGAAGTACAAAAAGTGAATCAAACTTAGTATTTGGGGATTGAAACTAATAAAAAAGAGATTATTTTTACCTGATTGAAGGGCGTTTTACTTGCGATTTTTTCTGCCAGATGCTCTCAGTTCGGCGCATTTGTGCCTTTATGTTTAATTCTTGTATTCCGAGCAGCTTGACTGTTTTCAGCTTTCTTAAAACCTCTTCTTTTTACTGGTAAACAACTGATTCCAACAATAAATGCTAAATTTTCTCTCAAGTTTAAAGTTTTTTAAACTCTTGACTCAGTGAATTCAACAAGTTTGTTCATCGAAAATCCGGCTCTTTCGTAAACGAGTCCAATCTACCTTCATTTTAGATGTCCATTAGATAACTTGTCGTTTTGAAAACACTGAAGTTCAGGTCAGAAGTACGTGTTCTTGGGATGCAGCAATATTAACTGTATTTTAGTTTAGGTGGAGAATTGTGGAATAACTTACGATCTCGTCTATAACTGCAATCAAGTCTCAATCGAGCGACCATTGTTTTGATTTAAAAACAAGCTTGAATGATGTTGTCTCAGCTAGTATTATTTACATATGCTGTTATAATGGATTCTTTCAAAAACCTTTCAGAATTTCTCAAGGAATTCCTCTAAACACATTTTCTCGTCAAATTGAATAAAGTTTGGTTTGTCAACTGCGTGAAGCTTGCTTTGTCACTGCCGATCTCTTGTAYCCATGACATCACTACAATYTGACCAATCAAGATTCGCATGCTAAAATAGCTCAGACTAGCGCGCGGAGCTAAAAATAGATTTTCAAGAAACTTTCATGGGTCACAGGGATATGCTCTCTTACTTCATATTCTCTTGCCAACGTTCAATATCGCTATCCACCCTTCGTACAAACGGGCCCAGATGCTTTTCTTACTAATAAGAAGCATTATCTATTGCGTTTAATAGGTGGAATTGCTGATCGATATCGAGGCAGCTTTGCCATCTTGTCTCCTCAGACGCGTCCATTTTAGTCACGTGACAGACTATCCTAACAAAGAGCCTTCTTTGTTTTCCAAGGTTAGAAAAACTTCGACACGAAGAAAATAGTATTTTCAATGCGTTATCAACATGACAAAGCAATAACGAAAGGATGAATAATGTGGTTGGTTACCAATTTCAAAAATATAGAGTCTTTGCACCATCACGTGACGGCAGCCATGTTAGATGGCAGTAACAATACAATTGTTTTACATGAGAAAGAATTCAATTCCCAAGAGCAAAGGGATTTTGTTGCTATCCTATGCCATCCAACCACAGGCAGCCCAAGCATTATTTTGGGATGGGCAAGTGATGGTGCAAAGCCTGTATTCAATACTGATTTTCTTGTGGGTGTCATCAATAGGTCTACAACAGTCTCATAGGCTTTGGTCTCGGCAACGAAGAAGGTGAAGCGGACGAAAGAGACGCACGAATACCGGAGATGACACAACTAACCGAGAAACTGGAGGAACAGGCTTCAGAGTAAGATTTGTTTTGTCAAAATTTAAAGAAAGGAAAAGTAAATCGAATTGAAAAAAAAGGAAAGAGTGTAGAGGGAGAGAGATAAAACAGTACTCTTAATATCAGGATAGAGATTGATTCTCTAGTCACATCGTACGTACCTTCCGCCATGTTGGATGGGGCTAAAACATTCCAGCTTACAATTCAAGAAAAGTTACTTCATTAAAAGAAAGCCATTTAAAAATCAGTGCTTATACAAAATAAAATTGCATGTTAGAGAAAGATCTCGTTATCCTAACACTAACACTAACATACCGCCAAGACTATCGTCCTTTGTAGAATAATAAGACTTACCATCTATCCATGTTGCCTTGTTTCAGAATCGAGCACCTTCAGAAAACAATGGAGACGATACTACAGCTTGTACGCGAACAAACAGACATTCTTTCAAAGCCCAAAAAGATCGAAGCTCCACTAGAAGATCCAAAAGCATCGCTTCTCGGTAAACCCCTAGATGTCTTTGGTAGTTTAGCTTCAACGGCCATCTCATTTGGGACCAAGAAAACGGAAGAGGAAAAGACGCAGGACAAAACATCATCTATTACTTAAGACTTGGATTCATAAAACGGACGTGAAAGAAACGTATTGCGCATGCTCCCTAGTTTGTATGCAAATTAGTTCAAAAATGTAAAGATTTGCATCATTTTGTTGCGTCCTAGTTTGTTAAAACATCGAGGGAACAAAAAGGCAAAGCTTCGACAAGGAACTGACTGATTTGTCAGTTCTGGAAACTTTATTAGTTATTTTGTATCGTTGTTAGTATAATATCTTGGTTCTTTAAAAATATATTGCCAAGTGCACGCATGCGCAATAGGTTTTTCTCTGGTGACTTATCAAACTAGGCGGCAACTCCAGCCTCGGCTAGGAACTATTATTCGTGGTCACTGAA